CATGACCTGAGCTGAAGGCAGTCGCTTAACCAACTGAGCCACCCAGGCGCCCTGAGGTGGTGTTTTTATCATGTGAGGGAACTGAGGCACAGAGCAGTGAGGTCACTTGCCTGAGGCCTTCCAGTGAGTGAGTGCTGGGGTGAGGGTTTGAAGCCAGGCCCTTTGCTTCTGGCACCCACATCCTTTCTGAGTGGCAGCGACACCCTCTCAGTGCCTTGAGTTGCTCTCCCGGTAGTGGGGTTGTTGGCAGGCTCCCCACCCGCCGCCCTCCTGTCCCCTGTGGACCAGCGGCGTGCATCAGTGAGCGCACGGCTGCAGAGGAAGACGGCCGGGCCAGATGAGACTTCTTTCTCACTCAGAGAAGTCGACGTATCCGATAGCAGACTGTAGAGGAGGTGTGTGTTAGGAAGGCCCCCCCGCCCCACTAAAACCAACAACACTTGCGTATTCGAACTTTTGTTGTGGTGTAATACAGAAAAGTGCACCCAGATCATAATCATAAATCAGTCCAGTGAATTGGAGCATCTGATGTTCAACAAATTATTTATGCCTTTGCTCTACTTGGCTGAAACTAAAATGGAATACTATAAAGATTATTCAGATTAACGATACCAGTTTTCTAAAGCATCGAGGAAGGTTTTTTTAGTAACGGCTAATTTTATATAGTGCAAAAATGCAGCTCCCTCTGGATGAGAAGTGACAGTTTTAGAGTTTTATTCCCTTAGTAACTTGGTTTTTTTTTTTTCCCTTAGCAACTTTTAACATTGCTTAGAAACATCTTTTTCTCTTACTAGATCCCAAAAGATGAGCATATTCTTCGGTTCTTACGTGCCCGGGACTTCAATATCGACAAAGCCAGAGAGATCATGTGTCAGTCTTTGACTTGGCGAAAGCAGCACCAGGTGGACTACATTCTCGAGACCTGGAGCCCTCCCCAGGTCCTTCAGGACTACTACGCGGGAGGCTGGCACCATCATGACAAAGGTGGGCTGGGCATCCCGGACATGCTTCGAGGCCACGTTGTGCAGAGTTGAAGGGACCCATGAATGCCTGGGCCCTCCCTCTCCCAGGGTGGCGCCCATTCATCACAGCCAGCCCCACACCACCCTGCCCACTAGGAAGCCCCCTGAGGTCCGCCATAGAGCAGCAGGTGCGGGCTGTCTGCTCCTTCCCTCGGCTCGTGGCCCTTGGCCGCCAAGTTTCTTCACCTCCTTTCTTAGTCACAAAGACTTTGTTTCGACTTATTTAAAAAACCCGCAAGTTTGAGGGCAGTGTATTCAGGAGCACAGTGCTAGTAAAGGAACTTTTAGTAAATCCCTACAAGATCTGTAACAGTATGTAGCCAGGTTTTCTACATCGAAACAGTGAAGAACTTCAGCTCTGTTTTGGGCAGGAAGCAAAACATAAGCCAAGGAAGTGATAGCATAAAACGAAGGGTAAGTTAAGTGAGCAGGGTTCTCTCGGATTGCATCCAAGGCACGCCCTTCAGGAAAGCAGGCATTGCCAGAGGCTGCTCGGTATTTCCTGGTTCGGAGTTGGACAGTGGACAGAACGGAACCGTGGATGTGGAGCAGGCACAGGGATGGCCGTGGGCTCCCTCCCCCTCCAGGCAGATTCTTCCAGAATGGGACAGCTCGGATTTGTGTGTTTTCTGGACTGCATCTTTTGTACTTTTCCAGACTAATTGTAGCTCTGTTTGTTTCTGCTAGCAACATATTTATTCTACTTTCCCACCCTTCAAAGATTAAAGTTTGGTAGTGAAACATTAACAAATGTGTCTTATAAATGTTGGGAGACACTTTTTATAAATCTTCTTTTCAACAAGATTTGGGAGCACAAAGACCTCTTGTTTTAAGTAGAACAGATCTAGTTCAGACCGGTGATAAATACAAGGAAAATTTGGACTTCTTTGTCAGGATGACAGGACTGACCCTCCATTAACAGAAGACAAGTCTTAATTGATTGTCAGCAGCAGATTCCGTTTCTATCCTTTCTGCTGCTCCCCTGTGGCCCCAAGTGTCAGAAGTCCAGATTCTAGAGAATCTGCTGACTCAAGGGACACTCTGGCCACCGAGATCTTTTCCCCTTTATGTAGCTGGCCTGTGATGATAGGGCATTTGTATAGTGAATGAGATTCCTCTCACGTTCCATCCATTAGACCTTCGGGGTATAAACATGTAGAGCCAAGATGTGCTGGTTGGTATGGATTTAAAAATTTCCTGAAAGGACTCATTTATCCTGATCCTTTGGATGGGAATCAAGGGAAGCTGGCTTTTTAAAAAAAAATCTAGACATTAACTTACTGATAACTTATGAAATGAAAAAAAATTGTTTTATCTAAGATATAAAAATTTAAAATACTCCATATTCACAGAAAATGTGTCTCTGGATCTTCTGAGGTCCCCCCGGCTTGAAAGTCAGCTCTGCTCAACCCCCTGGTTGTTTAAGTGAGGAGGCCGAGCCTAGCAACGGCCCCGGTCGGTACCGGTGGTTGGAGCCAGATGAGAGGTTGAGTTGCACTTGGTGCCTCTCATCATGGGCAGAGGGGCAGTGGTTGGGGGGAATCTCCTGTACACATAGCCAGCTGCAGCTTCTAAGTGGGAAAGCACACTCCTTATTAAGGTCCCTAGAGTTGTATTGTCAGCTTCTCATCAGGAATGGTGCTGATCATACCTTTGCTTCCCCTCCTGCAGACGGGCGGCCACTGTACGTTCTCAGGCTGGGGCAGATGGACACCAAGGGCTTGGTGAGAGCCCTCGGGGAGGAGGCTCTGCTGCGATACGTAAGTGCTTCCTGGGCAGGTCGCCGCCCCCTTCTTTTGCCAGCAGGATGGTGATCTTACAGCTATCAGAGCAAGCATGGAGTGCTTTTGTAATTAGGCCAATCTATTAATACATTTTTAAAATTTCAAAAGAGGGCACGGAAATTATAAAAATGTTTTTCACAGGGAAGCATCAACAAAAAATCTGTATAGCCACACAAGATGACTTTGGGGGGACCGATTTGGGGTCTTCTTGTTTCATTGCCATGGTCCCCCCCGCCCCCCACTCTCCTTTTGAGCTGTCTCTCAGATCAGACCGCTTCATAGTATTCTTTGCCCGGCACTTCCTTACTTGCAGGTCTTCACATCTCTTATCTGGACGATTATAAATGCTTCCTTCCTGCCCCCTGAACTCCCGGCTCCCCTTCCACTTCGGCCTCCATAGCATGGGCAGATATGAAGAGAAGAATGTGCTTAAATTAAAAACCGAACAAACAGGGGCACCTGGGTGGCTCAGTCGGTTAAGCGTCTGCTTTCGGCTCAGGTCATGATCCCAGGGTGCTGGGATCGAGCCCTGCGTCTGACTCCATTCCCCACTCAGTGGGCTGTATTATTGTCTCTGTGTTTCATAGCTTGACACAGTGGCGTTACTAGACTAATCATGGGCTTTTTATGGCCATTTTATACACAGGTTCTCTCCATAAACGAAGAAGGGCTGAGACGGTGTGAAGAAAATACAAAAGTCTTTGGTCGACCTATCAGGTAGATGTTGATTTTGTTTTTCCTTCTAGCTTATTGAGAATGTGAGGTAAATATTTCTAGTTGACTTTTAGGACCAAAATCTGGTGTGATTTTTAGACTTTTAGATTTCTAGAGCCAAATCTAAATAGCTTCCCATTTTTTGCAGTGTTCCAGAAGGTAGAAGCTAATTAACATGTAATTCGGTCAGTTAGGAGGGATAGGTGCTGGATTTTGGTATTTCTGACCCCAAGTGAGACATTGCTGTCACCTCAGTCTGAGTGGGTCGGCCCGTCTGGTTAGTCTGCATGGTCCTTGGGAGCCCAGGGTCGCAGGTTGGTTTTGTTCGTTTGTTTTCATTGCAGGGGCACAAGGAGATTATTCTGTATTTCCAAACCTTACTCGTAGTTATGGTAAACTATTTGGAAAATGTGCAGTGGTTCAGAGGTGGACACTAGAAGGGCATAGCGGGTTTACTGGAGGGGAAGTTCCACCACGACAGGAAGGAGTTTTGAGGGTTTTCTGTTCCCTGCTGTATCATCGGCTCCTGAGACACTGCTGGGTTAGTAGGTATTTCTGGAAGAAGAGCTTCTTGAAGTTCACACCGTGCGTTGAAAAGCCAGATTCGTGCCCTGTTGGGTCCGTAGAGGTGGCCCAGCATGTCCAGCCCAGCATGTCACCTTGTTTGCTGGGTCACGAGCAGGTCCGAATGAGGTGGTTATTAATTGTCAGTTAGCCATTGAGGTTTTGCTGTCCCAGGGATTGGTCCTACCACGCTGATCCCGTGTGCTTCATACAAGTAGATAGAAATGCGGTTTGTAACACTTTAATTTTTAGAAACTGGTATGTTTTTGGAAATGGATATAAATGACGGTTTTGTGATATCCAGAAGAAGCTAGCTTAGGACGCGGTTTGCACGCGTGCCTTGTAGTGAGTAGCTCCCACGTCTGCACCCCTGCAGCTCGTGGACCTGCCTGGTGGACCTGGAGGGACTGAACATGCGGCACCTGTGGAGGCCCGGCGTCAAGGCCTTGCTGCGCATCATCGAGGTGGTGGAGGCCAACTACCCCGAGACGCTCGGCCGCCTCCTCATCCTCCGCGCTCCCCGTGTGTTCCCTGTGCTCTGGACGCTGGTGCGTGTGGTGCTGGTTGGGGGAAACGATTAGCCGTGCAGAGGCGGAGAGGTGTGCGTTCATACCCCTTTGTCTGTTTGCCTGAACTAGTCAGGAAATAACAAATGTGGGAAGATACACACTTTCTCAAATAGTTTAAGGGAAGAAAGAATTCCTGGGAGTCTTTTTGTCACGCAAATAGACTTTACAGAAAAAGTGTGTCACACTCCCTGTCCCTACCCCCACCCACCCACTCGTATTGTCACACGGTGATTTGAATCTTTGGAAATCAGACAGCAAAGCAAAATGACTACGTGGTCCTTTCTCATTACTTACAGGTTAGTCCATTCATTGATGACAACACTAGAAGGAAATTCCTGATTTATGCAGGAAACGACTACCAGGGTCCTGGAGGCCTGCTGGACTACATCGATAAAGAGATCATTCCAGATTTCCTGAGTGGGGAGTGCATGGTAGGTATTGAGGCAAGCAGCTCTACGTTTGGCTGCTTCACAGGGGTAGGAGAGGTGGGTGTCGGTTGGTACAAATGAGTTTCAGAACTTTTAGTTTGGATTATTGTTTTTTGTTTTGTTTTGTTTTTCTTTATTTTGCTGACGTTTCTCTGACCCAGGGTTAAACTACATAGAAGTGTTTAGGTGATGGTTGACAAATGCACATTTCTTCATTGTTACGTGCTAATGAGAATTTGTTTTAGAACCTAATATAATTGCAGCTTGCTTTATTCACTCAGCTTTGTGTGGATCAGATTTCTTATAACTATTTTGAGGAGCTATGCATTTTATAGAAACACTTTTAAAAACTCAAAGTGATTCTGCAAGATCTCCTCCTTGACAATAAATAAGGATAACATTTTGAAGGGGACACATAAAGGGAAATACTTCCGTAATCTGGGGTTTTTGATGCATGGTGTTGCTAGGGTATCAGGCAGCCATGTCCACTTCTATGCCCTGAACTGTGATGAGGGGTCCTTGAGGACCTTACAGCCCACGGGGCGTGCCCAGCTGACACGAGGGCAAGGGAGACCAAAGACTGCAGAGGCCCAGGTGGCTTCCTGAAGTGACAGCAGAAGCCAGAGGGGAGTGTGGTTCTCCTTAGGGAAAGGATCTCTATCATCCTCATAGAAAATAAAGTTGTCTTTCCGAGATGTGTACACACTGGATTTGATGCACGTATTTACCTAACGAACCCAGTTTTCAGGGGAGTCTCTCGGGTTGGTTAGAGGAGTTTGAACAGCATCCGGACTCAGCTTTCAGGGCCTCGGTCCTGCTGTCAAGAATTGCAGGCATCAGCATGGCGTGGTACGAGGGGCCAGGGAGTGACCGGACCCTCCCTTACCGAGGGCCATGAGATTAAACTGGGAGGTCAGCTGTGTAGCGACCCACAGACGACTCCCGTTACGAACAGTCCCAAGTGGTTGGTCCTTCTGATGGTGAGCTGGAGCAGAGGGAGACCTGACTCATGGCACGTTGGACCGACCATGATGTGCTCCCCACTGTGAGAGTCCTTCTCATTCATCCGTGGGTCCAGGCTCTTCTCGGCTTTCCTGTGCTCCCTGCTTCCCTGCTCCGGGTCCGTCTGAGGTCTTCCACTGGAGACTGTCTCTGGGTCACGGCCTCCCAGGGCCGGTAGTGCAAGAGGTGCTGGGATTCTGTGAACTTCAGTATTGAGTCACTAGGTCAAGGCCAACTAGGAAATGTATGAAGTATATAGATTTTAATTCAACCCAGCCTGTAGTTGCTGAGAATAAAACTTTTCTTCATACCGTGTTTTCTCTTTACAGTAGTGTAACTGCTTGTAATTCTTCCATGAACTAGAGTTCCTAATGGAGTCCAGTACCTCACACTTAGTAGTGTAAATTCTGTGGTAAATTCGCTTCAACATGTTCTCATTTAGTTAAAGTAAGACAGGTAGATTTAAGAGGTTTTAAAATTTTACATTGCTAAATCATGCAGAAGCACGGGCGCCTGGGTGGCTCAGTTGGTTAAGCGACTGCCTTCGGCTCAGGTCATGATCCTGGAGTCCCGGGATCGAGTCCCGCATCGGGCTCCCTGCTCGGCAGGGAGTCTGCTTCTCCCTCTCCTGCTCCCCACTCTTGTGCTCTTTCTCTCTCTCACTCTCTCTCAAATAAATAAATAAAATCTTTAAAAAAAAAAAAAAAAAAAAAAAATCATGCAGAAGCTGTTGGACATTGCCAGTGTGTTCCATTCCCTAAGCGGCTGGGGGCATATGGGCCTTGACGGAGTGTTGGTTTTCAGGGGGTCCCTTCTGTGTGCACAGCTTTTACTGCTGTGTTTGTGTTTCCAGTGTGAAGTGCCCGAGGGCGGACTGGTCCCCAAGTCTCTGTACAGGACTGCGGAGGAGCTGGAGAACGAAGACCTCAGGCTCTGGACCGAGACCATCTACCAGTCTGCAAGCGTCTTCAAAGGAGCCCCGCATGAGGTGCGCCGCCTACACCCAGGGCCCCGGGTGGCGGGGCCCCTGCTCCCAACAGACACCTTCTTCGGCGGGTCTTCCCGATAGGATTTACTTTAGAAGAATCAAATGGTTTTTCTGGTCTTTGTCTTTAGATTTTTGTTGTTGTTTTTTCAGATCTTTAGTTGAGGTAAAAGTCTGCACTGACTGACGTACAGGCATCTCTCGAGGGATCTGCGCCCGGAAGGAGGTTAGGCCTCCTGGCCTCTGCTTTACCAGAGACCCCTGAGCACAGGGATGGGTTGCGTGTGGAAGGGCTTTCCTGTGGAAGATTGTTGACTCTCAAATCTAGTTTATCTAACGATTATGTAGGGCTGGTTTCATTTTCTGTTTTTTCGTGACTGGGCTTTGGTTATTTACATTTGTTAAGGGATTTGCACATTTTTGTAAGTCATATGGAGTGAGGAGAAAGTAGCACATCTCTGTTTTCCCTTCTTGCTGTCACATTGGGTGTGGAAGCAAGAGTATTCCTGTGTTTTGCAGACGCTGTGTGTCCTGTGACATCGTGAGTGGTCTGAGCTGTGAGGGCTCACAACCAACTCACCTTTCCTGAGCTCTGGGCAGATTTGTTTGTGTCTCAGGGGTTGTTGCTGAGGACGGGGGCGCTGGGCACCGAGCCAGCGTTCAATGCGCGGGGCCGTGGGCTCAGGCTGTTGGTGGTAGCCGGGAGCTGACCCCTTACTGCCATCCGCGTTCGTCCTTGCTGGCCTGGGTCCTCGCATGGCCGGCCCCTCGCTTGTGGGGCACGTGGGTGCTTTTGCCGTGTTTGAACTAGCAGAGGCAGGTTTGGTCCGCCTCGTTCGTAGATTCTGTAGGGGAAATCTCAGATTTTCATGACTGTCTTGAGGGTTATTTATATTCATTCCTTATTTGGAGACCAGGCTTGAGGAGGTGGAGTTCTTATTTCCCTTAGGTAACTCGCTCTTGTCTGTGGGAGGGAACTCCGTGGCATAGGACGTTTCTCGTGCATCACAGGATTATCTGTGAGATGTGAAGGTTTTCTACATCAGAATGCTAAACCCTGCTTTGGGGGTGAAGTAAAACACAAATCAAGGACACAAGAGCCCTGAAATAAAGGCTGAATTCAGTGTCCCCACGGTGAGTGCAGGAAGGAGGGTGCCTGTCAGCAGAGGGGGCTGCGTCCCGGGAGATCTCGGCCCCTGGGGAGCCACTGTGCTGCGGAAGGACCGTCGCTGTTCCCAGATAGCACTCTTGTGCTCCAGGGAGTCTGCTCTTCAGGGAGATTCCGAGGTGGGGTCTGTGTGGTGAGAAGCAGCAGTGGTGGAATCAAGGAGTCTGCCTGACTGACAACAGGTGGCCGAGCGCCGAAGAGCAAGCAGCCAGACAAGCAGCCAGACGGGTCTCACCGGGGGCCGGGGGCACGGCCTCCGCTGAGGTGTCACAGCTGGGTTCAGTTCTCACATCCCTCCCACAGTAATGTTTGAAACTCTCTGACTTTGACCATTCCCTGCTGCAAACCCTTCCAGGGGCGCCATTAGGAAGTTTGGGTTTTGGGTTGGCACTCAGTCCCTGGGGCCGAGGCCCCTCCCCCGCCCCGGGCCACGTGGCTCTTTTCTCCCCAAGCTACCACTGCTCCTTGGGAGTCTGTCCCCTCCCCCTGCCCGGAACACTTCCTTTGTTCCTCCATGTGCCCTTTATTTAGCTCCCACCTTCTCTGGGACCATCCTTGTGCTCACCAGCCTAGAACAATCCATGGAACCACTTCTGTATCATCTTGAGTCACTTCTGCTCTGTGTTGTTAAGGCATTTTTACAGCCAGAAGCCAGTGTGTTGGAGTGCCTGGGATCGTGCAGTGGGAGGTCGGAGTGCCTGGGATCGTGCAGTGGGAGGTCGGAGTGCCTGGGATCGTGCAGTGGGAGGTCGGAGTGCCAGGGATCGTGCAGTGGGAGGTCAGAGTGCTAGGGATCGTGCAGTGGGGGAAGTTGGAGTGCCTGGGATCGTGCAGTGGGCATTCTGGGCTGCAGGTGTAGCTAAGGGAGAGCATGGAGCTTGGCACGTGACATGGAGCAAGAAGGTTGGGAGGAAGGAGAGCAGGAAAAGCTGGGTGGCAGAACGGTGGGTGCGGGTGAGGACACAGCTGACGGGACATGTCTCCCTCCCTCCCACAACACACACGGCTGGGCCCAGAAGCTCCCCCAGGGACGAAGCACCACAGTGCCGGCTCGGGACTGGGGGGCTCAGGACTGGGGGGGCTCGTGCTTACCTTGGTTGCTTAATGCACTCTCTTTTTCCAGATCCTCATTCAGATTGTGGACGCCTCTTCAGTGATCACTTGGGATTTTGACGTGTGCAAAGGGGACATTGTCTTCAACATCTACCACTCCAAGAGGTCGCCCCAGCCTCCCAAAAAGGACTCCCTGGGGGCACACAGCATTACTTCCCCAGGAGGGAACAACGTGCAGCTAATAGACAGAGTCTGGCAGCTGGGCCGTGACTACAGCATGGTGGAGTCACCTCTGATCTGCAAAGAAGGGGAAAGTGTGCAGGTACAGCCATCTGGGACTCTCTACAGCTTGGGTATTTTGTCTTCAAAAAGAAGGGTCTTTTGCTTCATCACTGTCCTGCGTGGCTGGCACTGTCTGCGGGGAGCCCGCAGGGGTGTGCGGCGTCAGTTACGGTCAGAGTGGCCCAGGAAGCCCCAGGAAGAGAAGGAACTCAGCCCTGAGCAGGGGTTTTGGAATGAATCCATAACTTTTATCTCAAGTGCATGAGTTTTCTTCAGAAGTTAGTTTCACAAGAGCGACCTGGAAGGAAGGGAGAGGCATTCAGTGCACGTGGACAGCTGGGACCCAGACTTCCACCGAGAGGACAGTCACCCCAAATAGCAGGGAGACAAGCAAGTGCTGAGGGAGCTGTTAGCTGTCATTACTGAGCACTCTCATTCATTTAAAAATGCTCTGTCAGTTCATTTTTTACATTTTGGCCAGTTATTTTGAGTGCTTGTACTGAAAACGGTGGTTCTTGGGTGCTCCTGGCCTGCATAATAGATGCATAATTTTGCTGCCTTTACAGTTTTCAGGGATGAGCCTGTCAGTGTTTCGTGGTTTGAGAAGTAGAATAAAAGAGAGTATTTTATTTAGTTTTAAAAGTAATGGATGGTTTAAGCTTCAGAATTAAATGAAGAAAGTAATTTTCATAGGTTGACATTGTACTTTAGATTGTCATCCTTTTAACCAGAATGCTCTGGTAAGATCATTGGAAGCAGGTCCAGGAGAGCACTGCCTGGTCAGATGATCTTTCTTGACCCCCTGAAGGCTGAATGAAGGGCCCCCTGAGCTCTCTCATCCCGCCTCTCCAGGCGCCTGCTTCTGTTGTGGCCTTACCCCCTCCCCCCAAGGTTGCAAGTCCTTGGGGTGGGCAGACACGGAGAGTCCCTCCCCGAGGCCTGCGCAGCTCTTGGGAAGGGCCTCGCTGCAGGGCTGGAGGCCGCGTGGGACTGGCCCCTGAGCGAGGAGTCGGTCTTCCAGCCACGGAGATGGCCGGCCGTCCTGCTGAAGCCGAGTGGGCCCGGGGAAGGCTGCAGGTGGTGTCCGCCAGGGCCCGTGGAAGGTAGGCGCTTGGAAGCAAGTTCTCAGCCGGTGCTGCCTGACTCGTTCCAGGGCTCACACGTGACAAGATGGCCGGGCTTCTACATCCTGCAGTGGAGATTCCACAGCATGCCCGCGTGCGCCGCCACCAACCTGCCCCGGGTGGACGATGTGCTGGCCTCCCTGCAGGTGTCGTCCCACAAGTGCAAAGTGATGTACTACACTGAAGTGATCGGCTCCGAGGATTTCCGGTACGGGCTCCCCGCCCCCAGGGCCCCCGCAGCACCGCGGGTGTGGGCAGGGGGGCTCCGCAAGGACGGTGGGGCTCAGGGGCGGCTGGGAGCGGCCTTTGGGCCATTTGTTGGGGCCGGTTGATGACCTCATCTGTGGGCCGGGCCAGCAGGGAGCCACGGTTCTGGGGGAGCCTGCTTTGTGAGTGCTGTGGGGGCCGAGTGGGCCGCGGGGAGCCAGGGCGGCCCGCAGGGGGGTCCTCATGCCTCGCCCCTCCCGGTGCTGTTTGCAGAGGCTCTATGACCAGCCTGGAGTCCAGCCACAGCGGGTTCTCCCAGCTGAGCGCCGCCACCACCTCCTCCAGCCAGTCTCAGTCCAGCTCCATGATTTCCAGGTAGTGCCGCAGCGCCCACGCCCAGGGCGCGGAGGGGACAGCGCGCCTCCTCGGACAGCCTGCCGCGTTCCGCCAGCCGCCCGGCGGCCACACTGTGCAGACCTCTCACCCTCTAGGTAGCAGATAGCTCTCCAGATGGCACATGTAGTTCTTGATCCCAGACTATCTCGACAGGTAGTTGGAACTCTAACTCCATAGCCATAGATCTTGTATACAGTGTGCACAAGATCAAAGCAGAGCACAAGGGCTCTCTTGAAGAAAAGTAGTTTATATACAATTAAGAGGTTGACTTCGTCTCAAATGTTGATGCAAAAAATGTTTCCAGCAACCTCCACACCCTGTCCATTAGCGGATGAATTCCTACACCATCCTTCAGAGGTGACCCACCTTCCTACATGGGGCAGGAACCACCAGCTCGTCCCCACACCACGTCACAGCGTCACCCTCTGCTGTTAGCCAGCACGGCCCACGGATTGAGGGGCCGCCCACTAGGCACCTGGCCTCCAAGCAGCGCTGCTTCCGTGGGGAGCATTTGGGGGCAGGCTGCAGGAGCACCTCGCTTGGGCCCCGCGGGCGGGTGACCCGCTGTCCTGCAGTGGCTGCGGGTGGGCCCGGGGGCTCTCGGGGACCCCCCACAGCGCCAGGAGAGCACCGCCACCATTAAACAGCTTCCCTTTCCTCCTTTCCACATCTTTTTGGTACTTTCAGAGCAGGATTTTTCTGTATGTGACCTCCCGCGGAAGGGATTCTTTCCCTTTTCCTTCTGGTATGTTCTTACCTGCAAATGCTAGTTCTGACCTCACTCTAGACTTAGGTTCCCTCTGCCTCCTCTTAGCTTGATAGCGTCAGAGCCCATGTGGTCTTTCTAGTCACTAGAGGGCTGTTGTGAAGGCTCAGTCACGTTTGCCGTTTTGAAATCGTCCAGTGTTCATTGCGCTGATGCGTGTTCTTGCTGTGTGGCCGCTTACAGGAGCCCCGCTGCTTCATAGAGGGACACTGCAGACGTGTGGGGTGTGTGTGCGTGCGCGGGCATGTGGGGGGTGTGTGGCAGTGGGGGGGTGCGCGTGTGAGTGAGGCAGTGCAAGGGGGGTGTTTGGAGTGGGTGGCAGTGTGTGGGGGCACACGTGGGTGAGCGTGGCAATGTGTGTGGCAGTGGGGCATGTGTGAGTGTGGGGGTGCGTGGGGGTGGGGGGTGGGCGTCGGTGTGGTGTTGGTGAGAAATGGGGCGAGTAGAAAGTGAGATCAAGTTACAGGGGATTCTTTTTCGAAGCAAATCAGAATATGAGCTTGGTTTGCCTTTTGTGTTTTGTTTTTGATTCCCAGTTACAAAGTGTGGTATTCTTGTGTTGGCCCGTGTTTTTTTCAGCTTTTTATGGGAAAAGCAGGTCATTTGCGAATCTGTCTGGATGTTGCGTAGGGTCAGCGTTTGTGATAAGGACGTGATGTGTGGTGTCGTGTGTTGGAAGAGGCTGTGTTTTTAAGGATATGTGCCAAAACCCACATGGCTGTTAGCGGCGGGTGTGAGCGGCACGGAAGCCTGGGCCGCGTTGCTTGCCATCCGCTCTCGAGGCCCGAGGTGGGTGGCTGCAGGGTGGACAAGTGTGGGCCCCGCGGGCGAGCCCCAGGGGGCTCGTGAGGAATGCTGGGTCAGGGAGGCCCCCAAGGCGGCCCGCACCACCGAAGACTGGGCTTCTCCGTGGTTGCCGGCCTTCCCGGAGTGTGTGGCCTTTGAAAAGATACGCTCGCCATTGGCACCGAAAGCCTTGTTTCCAGAAAGCACAGTAGGGTTGGTTAGTGCGCCTCTGCTGCTTCCGATCAGTGCTTCCTGCTTCTAAATTATAAGGACCTGAAGATGGTCCCTTCCTTCTCTTTCTTTCTTTCTCTCTCTGTGTCTCAGATGGCGATTTTGCTGACAGCTGCCAAGAAAACGCTTCCCTCCACAGTCCACCTCAGCCCAGGGATGTTTGTAGAACTGTTTGAGTTGCAGCCATTCCCCCCCTCCCCCAGTCCGAAGACGTGTTCGTTTTAAGTTGGCTCAGCAGTGGCACTGTCTTGTCCCCAGAGAGTTGAACGCGTCTCTCAGAGTTCAAAGCACATCACTGCGCAGACGCCTGCAGGGTTCCTCATGAGTGACACAGCACCTGCTTCTCCTTGGAGGGGGCTGCGGGCGCCCGGACCCGGACTCTGCCCCTTCTTCCAGTGCCCTGCACTCTGACACTCCGCCTTCCTCCTGCACTAAGGGTTCTTTTGATTTCCCCTCTATTACTAGTGTCTTAACTCAGTTTTCTTCCTAAATTCATTATTTGCATATCAAATTCTGTAAATGTTTTGTAAACATATTACCTCACTCTTGGTAATACAATACTGATAGTCTTTAAAAGATTTTTTTACTGTTATCAATAATAAACATGAACTGTTTAAAGAAGAGAATGTCTCTTTCTTCCTGTGAAATGTGAAGCATCAGCCTCCCTTGGAGTGTGGACTGAGCAGATGTGGGGTGGCGAGCAGATGCGTGGATGTCCGCACATCCGTAGCTCAGTCTGAGTTTTGAGTTTGTCAGCAAGCGAGAGAGGTGACATGCGTCATTCCCGCCTCAGCAGCACCTGCGTGCCTTACTGACGCCTTAGCGTGTTGCCGGAGGAAGGGCAGGGTTCACACCAGGTCCTTTCGGGCTCTCAGTTCTCTGCCTGCCCTCACGTCAGGCCTGCTCTTACCAAGCTGTTGGGTTAGCGTCGGATTCTCACGGTGGCGGCATGAGAAAACATGTGTTACCTGCTGCTGTCTCGGCCGTCTCAGAACGTAGTGACAAAGTGGGAAGTCCTGAACAACGGTCCCGGTGTTCTGTTGGGCCGCCAAACCTTGAATACGTGTTTCTCCTTAAACACGTCCCCATTTCATACCTGAGCACAACCGTAGGGCGCCTCTCAGTTCTCCGGTCAAGGCAGAGGTGTTCTCAGTAAAATGTTGTCATGACAGACCAATGAATCAGTTTTTGTTTTTTTTAAGATTTTATTTATTAGAGTGAGAGAGCACAAGCAGGGACAGCGGCAGAGGGAGACGGAGAGGGAGAAGCAGACCCCCAGCTGAGCAGGGAGCCTGGCGTGGGGCTCCATCGGGATCGCGACCTGAGCCGAAGGCAGACCCTCAACTGACTGAGCCACCCAGGCCCCCCCCCCCCCGGGAATCAGTTTTGTTTGAAAGGGCTTTGGAAAGCAGGGGTTCTGGGAACAGGGTAGTGGCATCCCGTGTAAAAACGGCAGCTAGACTGCAAAGCCTCAAACCTGCAGCCATCTGAATTGTGGGCTTCAAAGGGATTAAAAGGGCAACGTTTGTTACTTATTTTCTACCGCGATGAAAAACCGCTGTGGACAGCATTCACAGTCTAGGCAATAAGGTATCTGCACAAACCCCAAACAGAGGCACAAACCAGCAACAGTCATAAGCCCCAGTGTCCAACAGTGTTCAGTCTGATGGACGGGAGCAGGACCTGGAGCAAGCCCTCCTCCTGATGGTGGATGCCAGGGCCGCGGGCGAGGGGCCTGTGGGGTGGGACGGTCGGCCCCTTGGAGCTTCCAGCACGGCCTGACGGGGCTCCCTGCCAGGAAGGGTCCCACACTGAGGGAAACCCACCAGGAGTGGAATGAAAACTGAGCAGGACGGGGCCTACACGAGGGTGAGGAGGCTGAAGCAGGGCAGGAGCCGGGAAAGCTCTGGAAGCAAAGGGACACATTTTTTTAAACTTCCCAAAAACGACAGAAGAGGGCACTCTGTAGAATTAGAAATGCTTTCTTGAAGCCCCTTTCATTCTGAAAGTTTATGACATACTTTCACATAAAAATGAGCATCAGAAAAGGATCCAAGTCCAGTCCATACGAAGCTGAGAATGAGAAGAGCATCCTACAGACAAGGAAAGGCCAGAAAGATGCGCTTACAAAACCGGCAAATGTATAAATGATTTCTTTTTCTCAACTGAAGTGTAGTGAACACACATGTTGATTAGTTTCGGGGGTACAGCTACGGATTCGGTTCTGTGCGTGGCTCCGTGTTCTCCACGACCAGTGTGGCCGCCGCCTGTCGCAACATCGTCACGGTGTCGTTGACATCCCCGTGCCGGGATCCCTCTGGTCTCCGTGACTGACCGACTTCATGCCTTGAAGTTTGTGCTTCGTCATCCCCGCCCCTTCTGGCGACCACCAGTCCTCTGGGTGTGAGAGGCTGTGTTTGGGGTTTTTTTAAGGAACCTGAAGACGTCAAGAGAGTAAACGTGACAGGAAAGAATGTATTAGAAAAGTTCAGAAACAAAGTGACAAGAATTAGAAATGAATGAAATCACTTCAGAAATTCAGATGGAATTAGGAGGACACAAAGTGGAAAAGGCCACAGATAAGGCTCTAAGACAAAAGCACCAAAGGGGAAAGTCATACAAATCAGGAAGGACAGAGGTGAAGAGATGTCGAAGGGGACACAGCTTGAAGGTGAGCGAAGCAGGAAGCCCAGTACCGAGAGATACTTTGGTGAGACTGAGGCATCCGGGGGGAACTCAGGCTTTCCAAAGGCTGAGCTTTGTGGGGGAAGAAATAGAATAACTGGGATTTTCGAGGAAAGAAAGAGGAAGCCTCAGAATTTCTAGCCAGCAACACAGCATGTTGGGGTCAGGTGGCCGCGCTCCCTCCTGCCGAGTCCGGAGAGGGCGCCAAGGTGCAGGGGGAGACCAAGGACTGGGGGGCCTTAGGGCCAGCGAGGCTGCAGACGGGGAGAGGGTGGTACGTGTTGGCTACCGCCCTACGTCTGTATCAGACAACTTTTTCAAAAATGGGGCAGGAAACAGGGACAGCGTACGCCAAAGTTTCTGTTTTTCATAATCATATTAGTGGCGGCATTCTCGTGGTTCATCTGAGAGTCTTGGTCAGTCATATGGATGCGTCTGTGTGGGACCAGCCCAACCGCGATGAGAACCCCCAGCCCCCCATGGTGGTTTCATCACGGGAAGCCCCGTGGGCGTGGGGGAGTCCGGCAGCTCCAGGGGGTTGAGTCATTTGTTGGATCCATGTGCTTTTCTAGATCCCTGTTTTATTTTATAAAACAGAGGTTTGTGGGTGGTGGTGTTTTTAGTTAGGGTTTTAGACAGGTAATTTGCCTCGAGGGACAATAACACCGGCTGTCCTGCTGGGACTCAGGCTTTCTTTCCTTTGTCCAGATCACCAAAGCACCAGTTGGGGCTGCTGAGGCCTGCAGCTTCTGTCCCATCCCGGGCTTGTGTGCGCGGGACAGCAAAGCCGAGCCCACTCGCTGGCGGCAGGTGACTGCGAAGCTCAGCGCTGTTCTCCCGGAGGACGTCTGAGAGGCCGGTCCCATGAGAGTCGAGCCCCTTGCCCTTGCTTCCCCAACAGAAGTGGCTAGACCTCTCCCGCTCTGACCTTGCCTTTGGGTTTAAGAACTCGGTCTCCAGGACCCGTGTTGACACCCACTGGGAAACAGTCACGAGCCCTTGGATATGCAAATCACTGAGCCTCCGTGCATCAGCCCAACCGCTCTGTGTCCTGTGACCCATGAAGGAGAGAACAATCTGCGGCCTGCTCTCTGGGCTATTTCTGGGAACCAGCGAGGAGCAAGAGGCATGGCTGCAGGGAGGAGGACGCTCCCAGCTCCATCCGTAGAGCAGTGTGGGTCTCTGTGGAGTTGAACCCAGTCTACACCCATGATCTCACAGTCCTGGTGCTACAGCCAGAGTGAAACCCAAGCTCAGCCCCCCAGGCCGCTGAAGCTCAAGGTAGTCCCAGCTCTGGCCCCGGAAGGCCCTCCCGGATGCCACCTTGTGGCCTCATGGGAGACACACACCCTGCTTTCCCAGCTGGGGTGGTGGTGACGTCCTTTCTCCAGCTCTTGCAGATCAGAGCCGTGGGAGGACATTCTCTAGCCCTCCTGTCTCTGGAAATCTCTCAGGAGGGGTGCCGTAGTTAATGTGTCAGTTTGGCTGGGCCATGCGGTACCCAGATATTTGGTCAAACATTATCCTGGGTGTTTGGACGTGCTTTTTTGGATGAGATTAACAGTTACATGGGTAGAC